TTGTTTGTAAATTAAGATCGTCTGATTAAAAAAAAAAATGAAGATAAAAAATAGGTGTAAAGTTACGCGGCTTATACACCATGCAAAAGAGAGTCTGCGTACAGATTCGAACGTGAGTCACTACGAGATCCGTGTTTCCAGAGCCACATGGCAATGAGTTCAAGGGGGAAACTTGACGTGCGGCATTCGAATCACGGATATTGCGGTTACTCGTGGTTGCAGACTGTCGTTTGTATGATCTATGAGCAGTGTGGCTCCGGCTTGCAGCAGTGTGACCCCGGACTGGAACGTTATCTTGTGACATCAGCCTACAAAAGGAGCAACCGCCCACTTCTCGGACGGGGTTCGGTGCCGGCATGGGCAACGCAGCACGCTTACGCTTCCTTCTGCTGCAGATCTTCGCTGCGGCATGGGCCGTCGAAGAGATGCCTCATCCCCTGACTTCCAATCAACGCGGTTTTGAGGAAGGCAGCCAATTCCCCTCGTCACCGACAACATCAGCGGACTTCTTGCCTGGCGAAACGTTCGTCTGGCAACGGACTGGAACGTTATCTTGTGACATCAGCCTACAAAAGGAGCAACCGCCCACTTCTCGGACGGGGTTCGGTGCCGGCATGGGCAACGCAGCACGCTTACGCTTCCTTCTGCTGCAGATCTTCGCTGCGGCATGGGCCGTCGAAGAGATGCCTCATCCCCTGACTTCCAATCAACGCGGTTTTGAGGAAGGCAGCCAATTCCCCTCGTCACCGACAACATCAGCGGACTTCTTGCCTGGCGCAACGTTCGTCTGGCAACGGACTGGAACGTTATCTTGTGACATCAGCCTACAAAAGGAGCAACCGCCCACTTCTCGGACGGGGTTCGGTACCGGCATGGGCAACGCAGCACGCTTACGCTTCCTTCTGCTGCAGATCTTCGCTGCGGCATGGGCCGTCGAAGAGATGCCTCATCCCCTGACTTCCAATCAACGCGGTTCTGAGGAAGGCAGCCAATTCCCCTCGTCACCGACAACATCAGTGGACTTCTTGCCTGGCGCAACGTTCGTCTGGCAACGGACTGGAACGTTATCTTGAGACATCAGCCTACAAAAGGAGCAACCGCCCACTTCTCGGACGGGGTTCGGTACCGGCATGGGCAACGCAGCACGCTTACGCTTCCTTCTGCTGCAGATCTTCGCTGCGGCATGGGCCGTCGAAGAGATGCCTCATCCCCTGACTTCCAATCAACGCGGTTCTGAGGAAGGCAGCCAATTCCCCTCGTCACCGACAACATCAGCGGACTTCTTGCCTGGCGCAACGTTCGTCTGGCAACGGACTGGAACGTTATCTTGTGACATCAGCCTACAAAAGGAGCAACCGCCCACTTCTCGGACGGGGTTCGGTACCGGCATGGGCAACGCAGCACGCTTACGCTTCCTTCTGCTGCAGATCTTCGCTGCGGCATGGGCCGTCGAAGAGATGCCTCATCCCCTGACTTCCAATCAACGCGGTTCTGAGGAAGGCAGCCAATTCCCCTCGTCACCGACAACATCAGCGGACTTCTTGCCTGGCGCAACGTTCGTCTGGCAACGGACTGGAACGTTATCTTGTGACATCAGCCTACAAAAGGAGCAACCGCCCACTTCTCGGACGGGGTTCGGTACCGGCATGGGCAACGCAGCACGCTTACGCTTCCTTCTGCTGCAGATCTTCGCTGCGGCATGGGCCGTCGAAGAGATGCCTCATCCCCTGACTTCCAATCAACGCGGTTCTGAGGAAGGCAGCCAATTCCCCTCGTCACCGACAACATCAGCGGACTTCTTGCCTGGCGCAACGTTCGTCTGGCAACGGACTGGAACGTTATCTTGTGACATCAGCCTACAAAAGGAGCAACCGCCCACTTCTCGGACGGGGTTCGGTGCCGGCATGGGCAACGCAGCACGCTTACGCTTCCTTCTGCTGCAGATCTTCGCTGCGGCATGGGCCGTCGAAGAGATGCCTCATCCCCTGACTTCCAATCAACGCGGTTCTGAGGAAGGCAGCCAATTCCCCTCGTCACCGACAACATCAGCGGACTTCTTGCCTGGCGCAACGTTCGTCTGGCAACGGACTGGAACGTTATCTTGTGACATCAGCCTACAAAAGGAGCAACCGCCCACTTCTCGGACGGGGTTCGGTACCGGCATGGGCAACGCAGCACGCTTACGCTTCCTTCTGCTGCAGATCTTCGCTGCGGCATGGGCCGTCGAAGAGATGCCTCATCCCCTGACTTCCAATCAACGCGGTTCTGAGGAAGGCAGCCAATTCCCCTCGTCACCGACAACATCAGCGGACTTCTTGCCTGGCGCAACGTTCGTCTGGCAACGGACTGGAACGTTATCTTGTGACATCAGCCTACAAAAGGAGCAACCGCCCACTTCTCGGACGGGGTTCGGTACCGGCATGGGCAACGCAGCACGCTTACGCTTCCTTCTGCTGCAGATCTTCGCTGCGGCATGGGCCGTCGAAGAGATGCCTCATCCCCTGACTTCCAATCAACGCGGTTCTGAGGAAGGCAGCCAATTCCCCTCGTCACCGACAACATCAGCGGACTTCTTGCCTGGCGCAACGTTCGTCTGGCAACGGACTGGAACGTTATCTTGTGACATCAGCCTACAAAAGGAGCAACCGCCCACTTCTCGGACGGGGTTCGGTGCCGGCATGGGCAACGCAGCACGCTTACGCTTCCTTCTGCTGCAGATCTTCGCTGCGGCATGGGCCGTCGAAGAGATGCCTCATCCCCTGACTTCCAATCAACGCGGTTCTGAGGAAGGCAGCCAATTCCCCTCGTCACCGACAACATCAGCGGACTTCTTGCCTGGCGCAACGTTCGTCTGGCAACGGACTGGAACGTTATCTTGTGACATCTGCCTACAAAAGGAGCAACCGCCCACTTCTCGGACGGGGTTCGGTACTGGCATGGGCAACGCAGCACGCTTACGCTTCCTTCTGCTGCAGATCTTCGCTGCGGCATGGGCCGTCGAAGAGATGCCTCATCCCCTGACTTCCAATCAACGCGGTTCTGAGGAAGGCAGCCAATTCCCCTCGTCACCGACAACATCAGCGGACTTCTTGCCTGGCGCAACGTTCGTCTGGCAACGGACTGGAACGTTATCTTGTGACATCAGCCTACAAAAGGAGCAACCGCCCACTTCTCGGACGGGGTTCGGTGCCGGCATGGGCAACGCAGCACGCTTACGCTTCCTTCTGCTGCAGATCTTCGCTGCGGCATGGGCCGTCGAAGAGATGCCTCATCCCCTGACTTCCAATCAACGCGGTTCTGAGGAAGGCAGCCAATTCCCCTCGTCACCGACAACATCAGCGGACTTCTTGCCTGGCGCAACGTTCGTCTGGCAACGGACTGGAACGTTATCTTGTGACATCAGCCTACAAAAGGAGCAACCGCCCACTTCTCGGACGGGGTTTGGTGCCGGCATGGGCAACGCAGCACGCTTACGCTTCCTTCTGCTGCAGATCTTCGCTGCGGCATGGGCCGTCGAAGAGATGCCTCATCCCCTGACTTCCAATCAACGCGGTTCTGAGGAAGGCAGCCAATTCCCCTCGTCACCGACAACATCAGCGGACTTCTTGCCTGGCGCAACGTTCGTCTGGCAACGGACTGGAACGTTATCTTGTGACATCTGCCTACAAAAGGAGCAACCGCCCACTTCTCGGACGGGGTTCGGTGCCGGCATGGGCAACGCAGCACGCTTACGCTTCCTTCTGCTGCAGATCTTCGCTGCGGCATGGGCCGTCGAAGAGATGCCTCATCCCCTGACTTCCAATCAACGCGGTTCTGAGGAAGGCAGCCAATTCCCCTCGTCACCGACAACATCAGCGGACTTCTTGCCAGGCGCAACGTTCGTCTGGCAACGGACTGGAACGTTATCTTGTGACATCAGCCTACAAAAGGAGCAACCGCCCACTTCTCGGACGGGGTTCGGTGCCGGCATGGGCAACGCAGCACGCTTACGCTTCCTTCTGCTGCAGATCTTCGCTGCGGCATGGGCCGTCGAAGAGATGCCTCATCCCCTGACTTCCAATCAACGCGGTTCTGAGGAAGGCAGCCAATTCCCCTCGTCACCGACAACATCAGTGGACTTCTTGCCTGGCGCAACGTTCGTCTGGCAACGGACTGGAACGTTATCTTGTGACATCAGCCTACAAAAGGAGCAACCGCCCACTTCTCGGACGGGGTTCGGTGCCGGCATGGGCAACGCAGCACGCTTACGCTTCCTTCTGCTGCAGATCTTCGCTGCGGCATGGGCCGTCGAAGAGATGCCTCATCCCCTGACTTCCAATCAACGCGGTTCTGAGGAAGGCAGCCAATTCCCCTCGTCACCGACAACATCAGCGGACTTCTTGCCTGGCGCAACGTTCGTCTGGCAACGGACTGGAACGTTATCTTGTGACATCAGCCTACAAAAGGAGCAACCGCCCACTTCTCGGACGGGGTTCGGTACTGGCATGGGCAACGCAGCACGCTTACGCTTCCTTCTGCTGCAGATCTTCGCTGCGGCATGGGCCGTCGAAGAGATACCTCATCCCCTGACTTCCAATCAACGCGGTTCTGAGGAAGGCAGCCAATTCCCCTCGTCACCGACAACATCAGCGGACTTCTTGCCTGGCGCAACGTTCGTCTGGCAACGGACTGGAACGTTATCTTGTGACATCAGCCTACAAAAGGAGCAACCGCCCACTTCTCGGACGGGGTTCGGTGCCGGCATGGGCAACGCAGCACGCTTACGCTTCCTTCTGCTGCAGATCTTCGCTGCGGCATGGGCCGTCGAAGAGATGCCTCATCCCCTGACTTCCAATCAACGCGGTTCTGAGGAAGGCAGCCAATTCCCCTCGTCACCGACAACATCAGCGGACTTCTTGCCTGGCGCAACGTTCGTCTGGCAACGGACTGGAACGTTATCTTGTGACATCTGCCTACAAAAGGAGCAACCGCCCACTTCTCGGACGGGGTTCGGTGCCGGCATGGGCAACGCAGCACGCTTACGCTTCCTTCTGCTGCAGATCTTCGCTGCGGCATGGGCCGTCGAAGAGATGCCTCATCCCCTGACTTCCAATCAACGCGGTTCTGAGGAAGGTAGCCAATTCCCCTCGTCACCGACAACATCAGCGGACCTCTTGCCTGGCGCAACGTTCGTCTGGCAACGGACTGGAACGTTATCTTGTGACATCAGCCTACAAAAGGAGCAACCGCCCACTTCTCGGACGGGGTTCGGTGCCGGCATGGGCAACGCAGCACGCATACGCTTCCTTCTGCTGCAGGTTAGTCCTCTTTATTTAGAAGTTGCTCGTTATTCCTCGAAACGCCAGCCGGCATCGTTCCCCAGTGTCCTTGTAAACTTGTGTTCCTGGTGTCGCAATTTTCTGTCAAATCCTTGTGCTACTCTTCTAGAATTTACATTGATCCTCTCCGGCGACGTTGAACTTAACTCCGGGCCCCTTACGGACGCCCAAATCCAGAAATTGCTGAAGGCAGTTGACCTACTACCAAAACTGGATAAAGGACAGGAAACTCTAATAAACGATGTGGCAGAAATAAACCGGAATCAGGTTCGACTCGACAAAAAAATCGAAGCCCTGAGTAAGAAATTCACTGCGATGGAAGCGGAAATAGCTTTGTTAAAAAGCTTCAAAGATGATATGCAGGAAATCGGTGCCCTCTCAACCAGTCAATCAGCGCAAGTTGCTGCGGTCTCCTCTAGACAGGATGACACCGAAAACAGATCAAGAAGAAACAATTTATTATTTTACGGAATCAATGACGAACCTAGCGAAACGTGGTCCCGTTCTGAATTAAAGGTAATTGAGTTCTGTCAAAAAAATCTAGAGGTGACCGTGGCAGGGAACGACATCGAACGTGCTCACAGACCAGGCCGCTCAAATTCAGAAAAGCCAAGACCAAGTATTGTTAATTTTCTATCCTTCAAAGTCAAGCAGCACGTTCTATCCCAAGGATTCAAACTAAAAAACAGTGGCTTCTCAGTCGGCGAAGATTTTTCGGACAAGATTAGATTTGAACGCAAACAGCTGTTGGAGCATGGAAAATCACAGGAAATGCCATATAAGCTACGTTTCAATAAGCTCAGTATTGAAGGGGTAGACTATTTTTATGATAGCGCTGAAGGATGCGTAAAAGCAAAAAAGCCTAGCAGCTACCGTATCAGGCTCGGCATAAGATAAGAACCACGCGCGAACTTGCTGTTATGATTATAAATTGTCGTATAGTATCAAAAATAAAGTGGAAGAGTTTTCCGATCTTATCGCTCTGACAAAACCCAGTGTCGTCCTTGGTACAGAGTCCTGGTTGGATGACACCATTCGTGATACTGAGGTTTTTCCTTTTGGTTATGTTGCGTACCGCCGAGATCGAAATGTGCATGGTGGAGGAGTTTTTGTGTTAGTTCATGAATCCCTTCAAGGTTTTGAGATCAGAGTGAATGGTATCAAATGTGAATCTGTTTGGTGCAAGATTGCGCCAGAAAATGGAGAATTTACAACAGACGGTTCTTTCTATAGACCTCCTGGCCCTGACGAACGCGCAATGTTTTCTCTATTTGATGTTTTGTCAAGCATAGATGCACCCAATCTGGTACTTGGAGGCGATTTCAACTTCCCAGATGTGGAGTGGGCAGGTGGTCAACCCGTAACATTGAATACCACTAAGGCATATAAAACGTTCCTTAACTTTGTTTCGAGTTTTGAGTTGCACCAGTATGTATCCTTCCCTACAAGATTAGGTAAAACAAGGGCGACAACTTTGGACTTGCTTTTTAGCAACAGGGAAGGCCTAATATCGACTGTCTCTAGTCTTCCTGGAATTAGTGACCATGAAGTTGTAGTTGGACGAATAACCAATATATGTGGAATCAAGAGGCCACATTTACCTAGGAAAGTCTTCTTTTACGAACGCGGCAACTATGAAGGTATTTCCAATAACCTATGCGACTATTTCTCTGAGTTTAGAGAGCTTTCTCACCAACTCGACTGTGAAGCTCTTTGGAACCTCTTTAGAAATAAAGTAAACTCCTTAGTCAATGCATTCATTCCTTCCAAACTACTCGGTTGCAGGCGACGTAGAGACAAGCCGTGGATGAATGGAGAACTGCGTACCTTGGTTAAAACGAAGAGGCGTGCATACCTGAAATATCGACAAAAGAATGACACATTTTCACGTTTACAATTAGCCGAATTAAGTGAACAATTTAAAACAAAATCGGATGAATGCAAACTGAAATTGCATTCCTCTCGACGAAAAACTGAGAAAAAACCCGAAAGAGCTTTGGAAATATGTTAAGTCAAAAAATAAGGCCTCAATCGGCATTGCCCCCATTAGTGATTCCGGGCAACTTGTAAGTGAAGAAGAGGAAAAAGCTACACTCTTCAATAATTATTTCCATTCCGTATTTTCATCCGTAGTTAACACGGAGCATCTGATAACTCGCGAAGGGTTCCTTGACAAGATGGATGAAATCGAAATATCTTACGACGGAATACTAAATTTGGTGAACGGATTAAAGCTCGACAAAGCAAGTGGTCCCGACGGTATACCCGATCGTGTTCTCACATCATGCTCTGGAATCATCTCATCTTACTTAGAAGTCCTTTTTAAAAAGTCTCTCTCGAGTGGACGGCTTCCTAGCCAGTGGAAAACAGCAAACGTAGTGCCCATACATAAAAGCGGCCCAAAAGACCATGTCCAAAACTACAGACCTATTTCACTCCTTTGTACGTGCTCCAAAGTAATGGAACACATAAATTATTGCAACATTTTTAATCACCTGGAAAAAAACTGCTATCTTACTACCGCACAACACGGATTTAGAAAAGGGTTTTCTTGCGACACGCAGTTGGTTGAGTTCTACCATGACCTTGCAACTTCATTTGATAACGGGCTTCAAGTAGATTGCCTTTTCCTTGATTTTCAAAAAGCATTCGACACAGTACCTCACGCGTTCATTATCTATAAACTAGCAACGTTAAACATTCCATCCAACATTCTTGCGTGGCTCAGCGATTACCTATCTCATAGAAAGCAATCTGTTTTAATCAGCGGCAAAAACTCTGGTAATGTTGGGGTTACGTCCGGAGTACCACAGGGGTCTGTATTGGAACCACTTTTATTTTTAATTTTTACCAATGATATCACTAACTCCATACAATCGAAAATACGGCTATATGCTGATGACTGCGTACTTTATTCTGAAATTCATAACACATCCGATTGCTTGACTTAGCAGAAAGATATCTGTCGTATCTCTGCCTGGTGTGAAAAATGGGGAATGTTTTTGAACCTAACCTAGTGTAATCATGTATGTTTCACGCGCAAGAGACAGCCTGTCACCTTCAAATACGTTATCAGCGAAATGTATTCACCAACAGTTTTTGAATTCAAATACCTCGGTGTCTATTTTACAGAAAACCTTTCGTGGGCCAAACACGTGGACTACACATTTACAAAAGCGACCAGAATGCTAAACTTTATTAGACGTAACTTTAAAAATTGTCCCAAGTTTACCAAACGAACGCTGTATCTAACCTATATTAGACCAATTTTAGAGTACGCCTGTGTCTCCTGGGACCCCCACCAGGCCTACCTTGTCAACCAGCTAGAGGCAGTTCAAAATAGAGCAGCTTGTGTTATATCGGGTAATTATAACTTCGGATCAAGTGTGACTCAACTAAAAATAGAACTTGATTTAATTCCATTAATCCAGAGAAGGTGGTCTATGCGGCTAAAATTTTACTACAACATTTTTCATAGTTATCTCGGCATTGACAAATCTAAGTACATGCTGCCTGCCCACTACTCATCAGGAAGGCGTGATCACTCCAAAAAAGTTCGAGAGTATAAATGTAGAACGGATGTGTTTAAATACTCCTTCTTTCCATGCACAACGAGCACCTGGAATTCGCTGCCAGAGGAACTAATTTCTACAACTTCTGCCACTTCTTTCTTTAACCATGTGTTAAGTGATATTTCATAAACCTAAAAACAATTGATATTATTATCTCATGTTCGGCCTCGCGCTTTTTGTACTTTTTTGTACTTCTTTTACTTTTTGTACCTTTGTACTTTTTCTCAAATGTACCCCTCCTTCGCAATAATGCCTTTGTAAGGCGATGCGAGGTATTCTGAATAAATTAAGAAGAATGTGGGACCTGAGTGACATGTCAGAGAAATAAAACTTCTCTAAGTGGGATTGCTCTTCAATAAAGACAACAGACGAAGTTGCTCCGCTTGTTTTTCCAGTCTTTGTGTTTGTTTTATGATGCATGCTCACTAGATTAAATATCAATTCAGACATTTCCTGGTCGATAAACTTTGACTGAGAATGCAGAAGTCTCGAAAAGCTCGCGTTTATTAATCCATGCACACAAAAAAACAAAAAAAAAACGATATATACACCAGAACAAAAACTAGGTATTGAAATGTCTGGAAAATGAACAGTTTCCAGAAATATAATTAAAAGAGCTTTTGCACTAAAGTGGAGAGGAACGTGTCGCATATCATGTTATAAACTCAAACGTCGCTTTCTTAATGCTGGTATGTAAGATGAGATGGACAATCATACTTGCATTACAACAGAAGGGAAAAAAATTAAAAAGCGAGATTATGTAGGCAACTCGCCGCTTCCAAACGGTATTTGCGCTTTAAATATAAGCTTCTTCCGCTTGCGCAAGTCTCGCTTTTTACAGGTTTGTGATATAGAAGGGAACTTGCTTTTTTTCACAACCGAGCAGGCAAAAACAAAGAATACGCGTCCATTTTCACACCGAATAAAGCATATCTGCTGCGACCGCCAGGCCTGTCAGCCGTTAGGCGGCCGCGCTCCGCCCCACAGTGCCCTCGCATTCAGGGCACTCGTCGCTCGTATATGACAAGCGTCGTTCGTATATGAAAACCACGAGCCTTGAGCATGTTTCAAGCGTTTCCCTTTTTTTTATTTTAGCGGGCACAGCAGGGCGCAGCACGAGCTGATCGGGATTTCGACACTAGCGTCATGCGCGGCTTTCAGCACCCTTGGCTTCACGCGGCCGATGGGGCACCGCTGCTGCTTTATTTTGCTACTCCTAGTTCTAGTTCACTCTACTATACACGATTGCAAGCTGGGCGACTGGCCGCCGCCATGTCTCTGCTCGAGCAGGCACGCCCGTGCGATTACGAGTTTGCCAAAGCTACGTTCACCCGCGCGTTGCACGCCCTTGCACGCATGGGGCACCACTTGTGGCGCCATGCTTGCAATTGTCTATTAGCGGCGAGATGTTTCGGTGGCGCCCTCCTATGGTTCCCCCTTGTGACGTCATTACCTTGCGAACAACAAGTTCAATGGTGTTTGTAAATAGCATGGTGAAAGCCTGAAATCATTGCGCACTCAAAGCAACACTGCCAACACCGTCGAAATTAAAGTTCTTTCATTCCTCTTATTTCCGTCGATGGTATACCCTTTCCGACGTCATAGTCAGCTTTTGGGCCAATCGTGGAAGGCCGACCACAGCGACGCTCTCGGTCGCGCACGTCGCTAATAGACGAGGGGGATCGGTGGCCGAGTGGTCTAGCGCACACCAGCTCGGAGCACGTGGAGCGAAAGCTCGCGCTGCAGAACCCAGGGATCCTGGGTTCGAGCCCCACCCCTGCCCGTTTCGATCTGGATGAGCATCGTACCGGCGTGCGGTCGTGTATCACTACTGCGTGGTGCACGTTAAAGACCCCAGGATAGCCGCTGTACTGCACTGGCTAAATTGCTCATCTACAGCTGGGAGACTCGTCGCCCCTGTGAGGCAGACCAAGTTCTAGGCTGTATAAACACACACACAACCCAATTTTTTCTACTATAGACGCTTTACACACGCGCCAAATTACAGCTGCCATTGCTGACCTTCTCTCGTCTTTTCCAGAGGCCGAGCCACTGAAATGGGCATTGACCAGCCTCCACAAAGGCTAATGCTGGGGAGAAGGACACAATAAAATCTGAAAGGGCAGTAACATCGTCTGCTACGGTAATGATAAAATGAAGTAAACGAAATAAGAGGAAACAAAAAGCGAAGGTCGGTTATGGCGGCGCCTATGCAGAGCTGCTGCAAAGCGTCTATACTCCGTTTCACCTTATGTTGTACCGCAGCGAAGGCTAGAAGCGCGAGCTCATAGCGTTGGCAGCTGCCCTTGGTGCACGGGAGCTTGT